GCTCATTTACAGTTGTTTTACCGTTATTAATTAATGAGCACTATCCCTGTAAAATAAACAAATAAATGAAATGAAATAAATGAAATGAAATACAGAACATAAAAAGAGGATATTACGAGAAATGTTTTCTTGTCTATACAATAAGTCAATTCAAATTAAAAATTTTTTTTTGATAGTCTAATAATTTTTAATAATGATTCTCAATATCCTAATGATTTCATTTTTTTACTTAATACAATTATCCATAAAGGCAATATATGAAAGACTAAAATTACAAATAATCTATAACTGTTTCAGATAGTCTATTTTTAATAATCTGTCTCTGTTGTTTTGACTTTCGTCTTATGAATAAAAACAGTATTCACAGGAGAACATACTACAGGTTTGAATAAATGATGTCCGAATAATTTACATTTTTTGGGGGGGTGAATATCCCATTAACTTACATTCACTAATCTTTACCCAAATGGCAATAATCTGTGGCATACGCATGCATCAAAACTTCTGCTAAGTTAATGTATTGTGGCGATAAAAACAGGCCCCTTTCAGTCGAGCATTTAATCAGAGTTGCATCGAAAGCACTTTGCGGGCAAGATGTGGCTGGAGGTTTGCGAGAGGACATGATTGGCTTAGTCCAGTGCAGAAAGATTGTTTCCTTTGGCTCCGTTCAGTGATTTCCTGCCCTGTGATCATCTCTTCCATATGATTAGACCGATGTGCAGAACATGCCGTCATGTGATGGACTCATGCCACAGGCCGTCAGTGGGTGTGAGCATAAAGAGAAATGAACTGCAACAGGATTTGCGAAGAGACGGGGTAATTACTGGGAGAGAGCAGTAAAAACCCAACATAATTTACCAGAAGATATTAACATTGGGCCTGATGCCGCAAAAGCAAAGATATTTCTGTCAGCAGCCTACGACAATATTATTTGTTGAAATAGCACAGAACCTCCTCCCCTACACACACAGAAACACATATGGCACCACAGCTGAGACACACTGGCTCTGTAATGCAATTACTCCGACAAGATGTCTTTTCATTCAAACACAACACAATACACAGAACCTTTGCTGCGAAGTTGCAGCTGCTCCTCTTAAAGTAACACAAGCGCAGGGAACAAACTGTTAAGTAGTTGGGTGGTGCGGCGGACACAGAGAGGATTTCGGATTGAAATCAATCATTGGTCTGACACAGCCAGTGGCCTCGTTGCTGCGCATAGCAGCTAATTATGCGAAATATTTTCCCACTAAGCCTCTTACTCAAAGATATACCTGATCGTCTATAGATAGAAATGTGGAAAGCCAATTACTTTAATTACAGCGGAGGGTCTGGGATGATCTAGAACCCCTTGGTGTGTGACGGCTTCAGAATGCTTTACACACTAGAAGAGACTCCCTGTCACTTGTCAACACCCAAATGTTTTAATCTTTCCTTCCTCAGCGCGTATTAAAAGATTATGAGCTTTCTGCATGGCCGGGCGGCACACAGTCCCCTGTTTTGCAGCTTTCTGAAGGTCCCGGCACATGTGGAGGCCCAGGCGGGGCGGGGGGGCAAGGGTTTTTTTCAGTTCGACTTCAGATGGCTGTAGATGAGGAGAATCACACAGAAATATGTTCTACTCACAAAAAAATCTAATTGATATTTTGAAGGCTCTATAAATGCTGTTTGACGGCTGTATAGAGGCTGGTCATTTGTATTGCGCCGTTATTATATACAGCAAATAAACCAATTTCACCCCAAATATTTTGTTAGTCCTATTATTTTTAATAATGATTCTCGTAAAAAAATATTGTTGGTTGAACTTAAAAAATGAAGTAACCTGTTTGCCTTAAAATTTTCAGTTCATTGAACTGGAAAAATTGAGTTAATACAATGAAGAGATTGATTTAAGCATCGCACACTCAAAATATTATGTTACATGAACTACATAAATTATTTATGTTGATTCGACAAAAGAAAAATGTGATTACAAATCATGAAAATATGATGGTAATGTATTTGAGGGGGTATTGAACTATTAACTTAAGCATAAAGGCAATATCACACTCTAAAACAATGTGTAACATATATCCACATATGCAATATAGCCTCCCTAATTAAAATATTTTTAATAGGCTATCTCAATAACATTTTTTAGGGGAAAAAAAGCACATAGTTGTCATGAAAATTATTTCACAAGGCTAAAAAAAAAAGATTATTTTGATTGTTGAAATATTTTAGTCATAATAAGTAATAAAAGCAAGAAAAATCAAGTTATGTTGGTAACACTTCCCAATAAGGTTTAATTTGTCAACTTTAGTTAATGTATCAACTAACATTTGTCACAGTTTTCATTAATCTTAGTTAATGTTAGTTAATATAAAAACACAGCTGTTTATGTTAGCTCACGGTGCATTTACTGTTAACATTTGCTTTCCACGGTACATATTGAAATGAACATGCTGTAGAAGTATTGTTCATTCTTAGTTCTTGTTAACTAAAGTATACACTCTTAGAAGAAAAAGGTTCTATATAGAACCTTAAAAGGTTCTAAAGCGCTACGTATTTGGAACCCCTAAAATGCAATGCATGTCAATGATCACAAAATTTAAGATATGGGGGTTAAAAAATGTAATTAATCAATATCACACGAAGAGTGCCATTTCAGTTTTTAATCTCCAAAAATCAGCATGATTAAAATATGATATTAAGTTACTACAACAGATTAATAAACTATAATTTAATTACAACTGCAAAATGTTGCAGAATAATGTAATATATGAATGAATAATAGCCTATAAAGAACCTTTGTGCCAAAAGGGTTCTTTCTTGTCATTATCATCATTTTTTTGCATAAAAGGTCCATTGCAGTTGAGTAAAGAACCCTATGCTACATATGAAGAGTTCAGATGCAAAATTTTCTTCTTTAATGATGATTTTTGTCAAACTTGTATATTTAAGTTCAGTAATTTCACTTAAATAACAATTAATAGGTAATTACGATTGTCATTTAAGTGAAATCACTGAACTTAAATATACGAGCTTGACAAAAATCATCATTAAAGAAGAAAATTTCAAATGGCATTTAGAGGCTTTTGCATCTGAACTCTATATATATAGAACCCTTTTTTCTAAGAGTGCTAAAATATTAGTGTTGGCATGTGTTTGTGACCCTCAGGATAAATTTGTCTCTGAAAACTTTTCCGCAGATTCAACCCTGACACTATCGCCTCGCTTGTTGGTGCCCATTGAAAAAAGAAAAGTGAGAGAGTGAGAGCACAGGTTTGTATTAACACCCCTTACAGGTAGAGAGCAGAGGCGTAATAGGCTCTTTCAGCACCTAAGCGAGCCGGCGTGCTGCAGTAATCTTTCAGCAACTTGGCTCCCCGCTAACAGGCCTTCTCTGAGAGCGCCTTTCAATTAGCAGTTTATTATTGCAGAGGCCCCACAGCACCAGGCGCTGATAGCCACATGCCAATACCGCTACTGACACTTCAGGGGTAAGCGCTTTCACCGTGGGGGTGGGGAGAGGGCGGACTGACACCTCTCACTTACACACCGTCACTGGCATCGGAAACAACGACAGCGCTACCAAAGTCACACCGTCGTCTTTTCATCCGCGCTCTCTAACTAGCATAAACACACCCATCTTTTGATCGCGTTTAAACGTCGCAACCGACAAAACACCGCACTGCCCCGTCCCCTCTCTGAAGCGCTTTCACACAAACACTGTCCCTCCTCTCCATCCGAACCCTGGGCTTCTATCTGCCAATGCGCTTGTAGAGATATTGTTAGCATTCCATTTGCCATTTACATTTTCTCTGCTTGACATAATTGAAGAATGGATGCTCTTATGAAAATTAAACTTGCGGTCCTCCCGGGTTACTGTAACCCTGTTAAAATGTAATGAGATTCTTTATGCGTCTTCTCGTGATTTTTTATTAAATAGAATATCAGTATGACTAATTCCCCGAGCCTAAATGCAGACTGGGACACAGCATTATTGATAGGCCAGTGCGTAAGTGGTCTCCCATCCCCAGCCTCTAATGGTCTAATAATGCATTATACCAGTATCAGTGGGCCTGTGGCTTGCAGTGCTTATTGTCGTTATTGAAAACACCTGGCCGGACCATTCATCAAGGTTAAATCAAGAGGGCCCATTTGTTCATTAGCCTGTCACTAAACATCTTTATTTAGTTTCGCCGTCCGAGGCAGATCGCCGGCCCTGGAATTCTGAGCAGAGGAGTCCCGAAGAACGGGGAGCGATGCTAAACGGTGTCATGTCGGACGAATGATAAAGAGAAACAGATTATGGCTGTTCCCGGAACACTGGCTATTTCCCTGTGTATGAATTCACCGCACTCATTTATCTGGCCGTCCCGTTTATATGGGAGGGTGAAAAACAGCCTGTCTCGTTCTTCTTCTTTTGTTTACCAGCACTAACATATAAGAGACGGTCTCTGAGAGGAAAAAAAAAGTGATGCTAATTTCTCTCCAAATATTGACACGTGTAATTAATAGAATTGATAATTATCAGACGTTAATTAATTCTCCAAAATGAATGAGCAAGTCCCCTGAAGCCTATTATGAAATTACTGGCACTGACAACTGAGGTCATTAGTATTAATTATCTTGCCCACAAAGAGGATGGAAGGCAACCGTATGAGCGTTTAAGAGCAAATGATATCTCCCTTTAAGACATTTATTACGAATAAAATCAATAAGGTAATTTTTTATCGTCTCCACTATTCGCAGATGTTCATTTGGATATGTAAGGCTTCGTGCAAGTTAAACTGCACTTTTTTATATTCTCATGTGTTTGTGTGTGTGTAAATAAGTCAACATGAACATTTTACATTTAATCTCTTCAGCTATATGCATAAATACAGATAATACTTTTCCATAAACTTAATGTAGCCAATTATTTTTATGTGATCAAATACAATCTTTAATATTTTATTAGGATTGTCATTGCAAGAAAACTTATTGCAATATTACAGTGAAATATTTTCATTCCAATGACAATATAGCCTGTTTATAATGATACAGTAAACTGTAAAAATGAAAATGCTATATCTAAGCAATAAAATTGTGGCACCAGATTACAAGCAATAGTATTAATTAAATTGAACAAATTAGAATTGAGTAATAATTAATCATATGAATTGCTTAAAAGTTAACCAGTCACATGATTGTGAAAAAAATATGTTAAAACATAACACCACCATCAGATAACCTTTTCTATTTGTTCATCTGACTGTTATAACTATAACTTTATAACTTAAAGTGAATGACTTAAGGGTCAAGAGCCCAACTAAAACAAACATCGATCACCATAATGGTGACTTAAAATTATGGTTTTCTCCTTCAGTGATTCTGCTTGTTAACATCAGGTTTCTTCAATATTGGCAATATAAAATAAAGAGTTATTCATTCGTCTTTCATTCGTGTTATTCAGATATTTTTGTTTATTTATTGGTGTAAATTGTACTCATTTAAAATGGTTAACTTTTAAGGACTTAATTTAATTTTTACTCACTTCTAATTTGTTAAATTTAATTAATAATATTGCTTGTAATCTGTTGGCACAATTTTATTGATTAGATATAGCATATTCATTTTTACTATATATATTTATATATATATATATATATTTCTGACATTTTGACATACGAGGCTAAAACTGCTGGGGTTCGATATACTGTAGTAAATATCCAACAACAACATCAACAACAGTCACTTCCCACTTCCAGGTTCACAGAAACCTGAACAATGGCATCATAAAACGGCAGCAATTCACAGAGACTGTAAATGTCATGAGCAATAAGGAAAAAATAACACACACCTTGGCTATATTAGGCAGAAACCCCGACACGTTAGGCAATGGAGGGGCACAGCGTTGACGAACACATGCGCTGGTCCGAACCCAGATGCCAGAGAGGGACACTGTGTGAACCCAGTTCACAGAACCATATATCTCTCATGACCGTGGCACACGGGCGTCCACCAGCCTCAGCCGTCTGTCAGTGTCCTGGGTCACACAGACCAAAGACAAACAAACACACGCAGCTGGACCTGCACCTTTCTCAGAAACACACACACACACACAAAATCACAATTACGGTATACATCTTCACCCACATAAACCTCTAGACACATTTGGACATGGATTTTTGTGGGCCATTGTGTGTGTGTGTGTTTTTGCATAACTGCTGATTCTAAATCTTGCAGAGACACATACATGTTCGGTGAAAGAGGAAAAATGGTATGCAGCCAAAAGCTGCAGGGATGCGGGACAAAAGTATATGTTACGAGATAAATGGCTAATATAAATAGTCATGAACATTAGTGAGCACAATCCCAAGCAAATGCACCGTTTGGGTTTCTGTGGTGTTTATATTGCAGTGAAATGCCAGTAACTCTGGGTGGAGACTGTTCTCGTGGACAAGGGAAAAGAAAACGGAAAGAGAGGTTGAGCGCGAAATCAAGTTGGCAATTGCTGACTGTGGTTCATATCTCAGTTATATATCCCTCAAGAAGACATTTTATATAGATGGATGTTATAGAGGGTCATTTGCTGTTCTTCAGTATCTTCATCAGCATCTTTGAATGCATATGTATAGAGTTGTACTTTAAAGGGATACTCCACTTTTTTTGGAAATAGGCTCATTTTACCACTCCCCCAGAGTTAAACAGTTGAGTTTTACCGTTTTCAAATCCATTCAGCTGATTTTCTGATATTTAGAAGAATATCAGTAACCAGACAGTTTCTGGTCTCATTGACTTCCATAGTAGGAAAAATATATACTATAATGGAAGTCAATGAGACCAGAAACTGTCTGTTTACTGATATTTTTCTAAATATCAGAAAATCGTCGGAATACATTCGAAAATGGTAAAACCCAACTGTTTAACTCTGGGGGAGTGGTAAAATGAGCCTATTTCCAAAAAAGGTGGAGTATCCCTTTAAGTTAAGGTTGTCTTTCTAGAAAAAGACTTTCAAAAATATGCTCTGGTCAAAATAAGACACTATAATTGAATTGATAAGAATTAAAAAAGATAGCAAAAAACCTGAACAGGATTTCAAGAATGGAGATTTCAGGATAGAAAAGAAGTGCTTTCATGTTTTTAAATGGGAAATTACTAATGATTTCTGTATTCTTTCAAACATGAGGGAATTGTTTTAAAGTAAGACAAGCCAAACCGATACAAAAACAGCTACAAAAAAAACTTTATAGTTATTTATACTGTTGCTTCCCACAAAAAAATATCACTTCCTGGAGAATAAAGTCAATTTGGAACTGACTTTTGTTAGTATGTGACAAAAACAGAATTGAAAACAACATTAAAAACATATAGATTCAGTACAAATTAAAACAATATTCTAATTACATCACTTTCTCTCTTTTTTTAGAATCAGATAAAGGAAAACCTAAAGAAAAACCAGGAATATTTCTTAATAAAATTACAATTTTCCAGTCTAGTGTAGCAACCGGGAACATCGCAAGATCTTCAAACCAAAGTAGTGAAATGATTTAAAACTGAACCATTTAATTACTGGAACTAATATGAACTGAGTTTAATATTTCATCCGATATATTAAGATACATGTACTTAATCGCTGCAGGAATGAGCCATTTCCATTCCTTTTACTTTAATACATGTTTTAAGACCAGACCAAGACAAATAATGACCACAACGCCATAATGTACGGTGTTTCAGAGACAAAATGGGCATGTTTTGTCACTCGAATATTCAAGTCTAATAGACTTGATTGTCTGTCAAAAGAGGGAGAAAATGTTGTGGTGTGGATTCATTTAGTAAAAAGGAGAAAATTATTCTTCATTCCTTTTAACAATCTGGCATGCGCTTGATGCAGGGAGAAAATTATTTTCAATTGTCTGCATCACTCAAGAAGCCCGTGGAGCTATGAATGGCCAAAAGTGATTTGATTAGGTTGAGCCTAATGACTTGAATCCATCTTCACATTTATCCTCTCTACTTAAATGGAGACAATGTTCCTTGTCAGCAAATTTTTACAACTGAATGGCTGTCTCCTGTTTTTCTGGCGATGACAATGAGGTTTTTTGCAGGCCTGTATGTTGCAGCGAACAGTAGCAACCTCAGCCATCATCATCTGTAGCACCACTCTCTCTCTCTCTCTCCATCTCACAGTCAGCCTCTCTCTCTCTCTTGCTCGCTCAGGGTCAGGCCGAGGGCCTGGGAGGGTGGGAGAGCTTTCCCTCAGGACTGTTTATTTTAATTTGCGGAGTTGCCGGGGACAACGAACAGTGGTTAGTTGTATGCCTTGGCAGCTCTTTTTAAACAGCCTACTCGTCTGATGTCATGACAGGATTAGGGGTAAGCGTGCGAGTAACGCATTGAAGACGCATTCGTAATTGAACAGATCATAATCGGGTCCATATTGATCAACACCTTCAAATGGGAAAAGACATGGTGTGATCTAATCAGCGATAGATAAGTCTGTCAGATATAATTCATTTAGAGAATTTATCAAGATGAGATGAAGTATGCAAAAGAAGTAACGCAAAGCAGGGAAAAGTTCAAAGCAAGAGAAAAATAACTAAAATGTTTGTAATGGAGGTCAACAGGAAGGTTCCGGAAGTAAAAAATGCTTTCAAATTCTCCATAAAGAAATTGATTTTGAACAATAACTTGTAAACCTGTAAAGATAGACCTATTGTGAGCTACGAGGATGTTAATCTGTGTGTTTGCTTATGCTGAAACCATCAGCCCACATTACTTTAGCTTATTTTTTAATAATCGTGTTTAACAGTGGAATTCCTGTTGAAAAACTACATTACCCATTGTGGTGTACAGAAAATTACACCAATCAGAGAGTCAAAAAGCTCTTTAGCTCCACCCACTCCCGGCCATGAAGCACTGCAAATCTCCCTCAAAATACTTTAAATATTTAAAAGTATTTTGCAATAAACTTAAAATATGTAGTTTTTATATTATAATCAACATTTGTAAATAAGTAGTTTTATATTTCTCCATGTTTTTTTTATTCGATTATGCTGTTCGCAATGCTTCATTGTTGTAGTACAGTCTTGTTCTTTTGTCCAATTTTTAAAAACTTTTATCAAAGTTTGTAGTGTTGTGATTCACCACATAGCTTGGTTCATGGTTGATAAATCTTTAAAAAAGACTTTTTTTAAAATCCCTGGAAAAATGAAGAAAATGTATTTTATTTACTAAATACTTCTGAACCAATGCCGCTGAAAAAGTGGATGGGCACTTATAATTCAAGAAGAGTAATAAAAGAAAATAAATTAATCAAATAAGTTTAAACAAACAAACAAATACATTTTAAGAAAGTTACATTTTTTTTGGCAATAGTTTTTGTCTGCTGAAATTATTCGGCAAATAAATATAAATAATAAATAAATATATAAATAAATATAGCCTGATTAAAGAAAAAAAATGAAAGTAAATTAATTTAAATAAAATAAATGTGAATAAACAATCAAACTAAAAAAAATACATATTTCTGAGAAGTTTTTATAACTGTTAGATTTTATGTTGCCATAATTTTTTATCTGCTGAAATCAATTAAAAACATTAATAAACAGCCCAACAAAAGAAAAAATTAAAATGCCTAAAATTTAAAAAAACAAATTAATTCATATATAAATTATTTGTCATGACCCGAGTTTCATGTTAATGCTTGAATTTGAAAAAATAAATAAATAAAACATATTTTTGTTTCTATGTTGCCATTATTTCCAGCTGAAATCATTCAGAAACACCAATAAATATACCCTAATATTTTTTTTAATTAAATAAATAGTTTTAAGTTAGATTTTCTTTGACCAAGTTATATTTTATATTGGCGATATTTAATTAAGCAATTAAAAACACAAAATAAATACAGCCCTACAATATTAGAAATACACCCTAAAGAGACCATTTCCATAGACCATAGTTACATAGAGCTTTGCCGCGAGTCTCACTTGTCACACCAGCTCAGTGTTTTAGCATTTAAGATGGAGGCAAAGATGCCAGCTGACATCCAACTCATGCATTAATCTAATAATGAAGTCTTGTTTTAAAGAAGGAGAGATAGCACGCCGGTGGCTTTTATTAGATGATGCCATTGGAGGAGTCTGATTCGGGAATAACCGAAGAGGACACCAGAGAGCCTGTGAGACTGAGTGAAACTGGTGTTTCAAGAAGAGGAACAGAGAGGAGAGGAGACAGGTGGCGTTTACGCCGCTACTACCGCAATCACAGGAGCGTCTGTCGGAGGGAGATTGCTCCTGGCGCGAGGGGAAAAAAAGAGAAACATTTCACCGCTTGCAGAGTAGAAAGTCTGTTGGTGAGGGGGACCCTAATCACATTACCCTAGAAAACTTTTACTTATGGCTAATGGAATTCGTTTAAAATTGAACCATGGGAGCATAAGCACATTTGCATTGATCCAGATATGTATAGAGCCAAAGTCAGTCTATCTATTTTGTGAGGGAATTAAAGCGGGTAAGCCCATAGAGCCAGACTGTATAATCCTATGTTAGAAGATCAATACGAGCTGGCCCGCTCATAGGCCTTTTTTATTTGCTAAAACGTGTGTATGCGCGGGTGAGCGTTTGTCCGGTGTATATTTTGCCAGCGAATTCTTCTGTGTGTGGGAATTGGCCATCTCCCATGCTTACCTGCTTGTTGGGTGGCGGCCCGGCTCTTTCGTGGCTCTTTGGGGTTTTGCGCGCCTGTTAACGCCATACAAATAAGCAGCGCTGCCCTCCGTTTATTTAGTCTGACACTTGTGACATCCATCGTCTATAAAAGCCCCTGTGACGGCCGGCCCTTAACAGGAAAATGTAGGATTGCAGGATACCATCAGTCAGTTAAATAAAAAAATGAAAAAATTTCCAAAGAAAACCAGTAAAGTAAAAAATTAAGAAACATCAAACATCATGAAGGAATGAATATTTTAAAAATAATAACTTCTTTTTAAAGTGCACCACATTATCCAACACTGTCTGTACACGTATTGGTAGTCTGCACATTATGCCATTGCTAATTTGCATAAACGTAAACTCAACAAAGCACAACTTTGTAGCATTTCCAATTGCTACAATTTCTCACGTTGTGAGAAATCACCAACTCTCAGTTGCTGTATTTCCATCCCAGGTTGAGAATTTAACTTATGTGCAAAACTGGAATATCGCAAAAAAAACATTTGCGAACAAAACACCGTTTCCATGACGGCAAATCATCACTTCCTGCGAAATCGGTGCAAAATATATATAGGCCTATGCATAAAAATGGAAGTTGTTGCATTCAGCGAAGCCACTGTGGTTCTTTTTGCTTGCATTATAAATGACTTGTGCGTGCAGACAAAACACTTTCATGTTACATTACGTTTGGATGTATGGTATTTGGGAATGCCATCGTTTAAGACGCTTCTGGGAGGTAATTATGCCCAACCACTGCCATTGACTTTCACTTAGGCATTTCAGAATGACCAAACCAACATTTGAGATGCTGAGCAATGAGATTGATACGCTAGTCTGCTAATCACATCCACTCTTGAGAAGTCACATGAGATACATTTTTGCGCATTCCAAAAATGTATTCGGTAAATGTATTTGCATCATAGTTTATGCAAATGTCTTCTTATCAAATTAAAAAAATGATTTGCCTTAATTGGGCATCTATGTTTTTTTAATGCATTTTTTTTAATTTAGGAGCATTTTGCTGTTTCAATCCAGTGTTTATTTAGAACAAATCCCAAAACTTGCATAAGAATATGTGGATGGAAACACTAGCTATTAAAAATAACTGATGTCTGGATACTATGTCATTGGAGATCACTGTAAGCATGCACAGATGGATTTAACTAAGATTGAAACGCAAACTGGCACAGCTTAAAGAATTTTAAAATACCGCACCACAACTTCACACCTTGCCAGGGTCATCCACTACTATTCATTGTCCAACTTTCACAAGTGTTTCACTAGACTCAGTGGAATTAGCAATAGATAAAAAGCCCAATGACATTCACTGTGGCTGGCAGAAGGTAAATCTGATGACTAAGAAACCCAACTATGAGATTAGTCTCGAGCTCGCCTCCCCTAAGTGCTACTCACTACAAATGGGACCCTAAGAAGATAATAACCTTACAATTGGTTTTATAGGGATTGAGTTATTCTATTACAAGGCTATGGAAGAATATCACCTTTATCCTTAAGACTGCAGCATCACAGCCATCCTCCAGTTGTCCGGAATGGATCGGTGATGTTGGTGAATGCCATGGGAATCTGGATGATAAATAAGGATAAATATTACTAATCTTAAATAAAAGTCAACATCACATCAAAATTAAGTAGTTATGAAACAGAGGAAGAATTTTCTGTAACTTAACCATTGACTTCCAGGTCTCTCTTAGAATGAAATCACATAATGCTGAAATCAGATATCTCCTTCATCTTTTACCTATAAACTCTGACCTCAGAGAGGCTCCTATATATTTTCCCAATCTCATAAAAGGGTCAGGTGTGGAATAATCTCCCTATTCACACCCATAATTACAGCACTGGTTGCCCTCATACAGTTTAGTGAAGCCCCATGTGGTGAGTGTTGCCACCAAAGACCCTAATAGTATTTCATAGAATCAGCAAAGTGGTCAGTAAAAGTGAAAAGGGTCTAATGGCTGATATCCTTCCAATGCCACTCCTCTTAACACATAATCCCTTTTGTCATCATCTAATGGAATAAAAGTGGCAGGGCCTTTCCCAAACTCCCCCTCTCAGTTTGAAAAACGTTACTCTGCAAGGACCAATGTGACCACACATACACTTATATTGAAAGAAGGATCCGAGCCAAAAATAGGGAGGAAAAAAAAGAGAATTGGGCCAGAAACCAACCATCAGGAAGCCACAGCATAGCAACACTAAACTATCCAGAGCACCTTAGCAGAATAAATAAATAATAAAGTCGTAAATACAGTAGTACGCCAGAGAGTGTATTCTAAAATGAACCTGTTAAAATAAATATGCAGTCGTTATAAAGTATACTATAGCATGACCATTATCCAAGGAAAGATGATGAGAGATGCATGTGCCATGTTCATACTCCTTCAGTCTGGTAAAAGATACAGAAGTATCAGGGCAAGAACTAGTAGGCTATTAAACAGTTTCTTTCCCACAGCTATTAGACTTCTTAACTAGAGAACGTGATTTGAACTATATATTTATTTACTATTATTATTATTATTATTTTATTTATTTTAGTAAATCTTTTTAATGTATTCTAGTAGTCTTATAATTATATTTAAATTGTGCACTGAAATACTAAATAGTGTATGTGTGAAACAAAATTTCGTTTTTTATGTACACCATGAAAATGACAAATAAAGGAATCTGAATCTGAATTCAAATGACTTGGTTTCCATGACTTGGTCTGATTTTTGGTCTATGGCCCTGTTTACACCTGGTATTAAAGCAACACTTTGGAAAAATTATTTTAAGGTAAAAAAAAATCGTACTTAATCGTTTAATCACTTAATCTTACTAATCGTTTTAGTGGTTTATTAAGCCATAACAGGGTGAAAGGCACTTCTGCCTTCACTTTGCAGTCCTGTATCTGCTATAACCACGGTATAAGATTGCCAGATCGGGTCAGTTTCTGTAGTTCTAATGAGACACAAGAAAACTACAAATTTAACTGGCTTTACGTCAAACGTTACAATAGTGATTATTTAGTTTTTCTTTGTTTCTGATGTCGCAATACTTTCATGAAATCATGCAACATACTCTATCTTGTCTGAGGACATCGTTCATTCCAAAGCCGGTCCTGGATAAACAATGAGCATGCGTGCAACGGTAGGCTGCGGTAAGCTACATTATTTACGACAGCGGTAATGGACAATTCCGCTTCCAACCTGTAGGGCGACTGCAGAGGAAAAGTTACTTGGTGTTGCTTTAAGATGTTTTAAGATGTCACTCGGATCACAAGTGGACGGCGCTTAATAGAGTGCCGAAGTTACGATGTCACTCTGTAGGCCAAAACGCGGAAGTGAGTTAGCATTTTAGCACTACCGGTTCCCTCGCCCTAAAGTCTATGGGATTTTTGAATGGGTTTTTGCTAAATCGCCTGAAATAAGGTCTGTGGTGAACAAAGCCTCTAAATATTTTCACGTTTTGATCCATGACATAGAACACACAGTTATAACCTGCTTGTGGTTTTTTAAACTTTATTGTGTCTGCTTGTGTTTTTTAAAAACTTTATATAGGCTTCAAAATGTGTACATTTTGGATTAACTTGTAAAGATTATCTTGATAGACAAAACGTGTAAGAGTCACAACTCTTTGTTAAACACAGATCTTATTTTTTGCCATTTTCCAAAAGTCTATGGGGAAAATGCATAGCTTTTCGATCAAGGGAACCCAAGCGCCGCTAGCTTCCGAGTTGTCCTACAAAGTGACATCATCACTTCGGCACTCTATACAGGTGTAAACGGGGTCCAAAACGTTTTGAGCTTGTCCACTTTCGACCACTTTCAGATATTGTCGAAAGCAAATTTGATCGGATTGCTTTCATAGTGTAGACGCTAATGTGATCGAATGCTTTCGAACGCCTACTATGGGAAGCGCGCGAGTCAGGTGGGAGTTAAACCTTGTCGGCTGAAGATCCAAGTTTGGTTTGAAGACAAAAAACATACCAAGCACAATGTTCTCTCATCGTTCCTGATTTCAAACACACACTTGCAGCTGTTAGAGCAGAAAAACGAAAGCTGTTCTCCGTATAGTTTTTTGCCGATTTCTCCAGGCGCGTTCATATGTAAATTGCACAAGCTTATTTTGTCCATTAGATCGAACAGTCTAGAAAAACCCATACATTTATCCGCCTATAGACCCTCCTCTTGAAGAAATCAGGACAGTAGTGATTGAAAGTGGACAAAAGAGTTGGATTACAACACCAGGTGTAAACGGGTATGTGTCTTGTGATCCGATCGACCAAAATGCATCTAAATACCAGGTGTAAACAAGGCCTATGAAGGGGGATTAATGGAGGTCTTATTGAACGATTTGACTTGACACCTCTCAGTCCTGCGGGTCCTGCTCGGGCATTAGTCATATCTGAATACAGTTAGCCTTAATGCTACTAATCCTTTTAGTGGCTCATCAATAGCTTTCAGATGTGAGATGCTAAATCTGAGTTGTTAAAAGTCCCCGGGACAAGACTTTAGGAGCACCGATCTGGGGTAAATTACCCAGCCAAAAAAAAAAAAAAAAAACACAGCAGAACAAATAAACAGCAGGCTGGAAATGAGCTGTCATGAGCAGAAATCATTTTCTGGCATGATGACTGACATCTCCTCGACCACCCGGGAAAATCCACGTCCACGGTTTTCATGCTTATTTCGGCCCGAGGTTTAGGCCGTCCTCACAATGCCAGGATGCTGAGCTGTTTCGAGAGAAAACAGAGCATGAATCATCATGTTCGGGGGTTTGGGCCGTGCACGAGGGTGGCGGGACAAACTGGTGTCCCCAGATGTGCTATTTAAAGACTGCCACCACCAGGCAAAGGAAGAAGCGGTTGTATTTCATTTCAAATGATGTCTTGTTCAGGAAGAGCGTGAGGAAATTAGTCTGGCAGGAAGCCACGGGGGTCCGAGTCCGACTCCCTTTCACACAGTAATGGCTACCGGGGCAGTGAAAAGAAAAGAAATTGAGGTTTTTGATGAAAACATTCCAGGATTTTTCTCCATATAATGCACTTTACTGGTAACCAAACAGTTCAAGGTCCAAAAGACAGTTTCAGTGCAAAGTGTTCAAAGGGCTTTAAACGATTCCAGACGATGAATAAGGGTCTCATCAAGCGAAAGAATGAGTTCAAGTTTTATAAGCTCAAATGGTCACCTTGCTCTGTTCTGTGATGCGCGTTCGTGACTCTCCTGTTCAAACTCTTTTATCAAAATAAAAAAATCTTTTTTCATGTCATTTAGTTCATTCAACAAGCGAAATGAACAAATTGACTCTGGAAAAGATCCGTTCATTTTGATGAACGAGTTCGAACAGGAGAGTCACGAACGCGCATCACAGAAAGGCGATCATTTTAGCTTATAAAACTTAAACTCTGTTATTTTTATTTTAAATGAGCGATCGTTTCGCTTGATAATACCCTTATTCATCGTCTGGAATCGTTTAAAGCCCTTTGAACAGTTTCCAGTTTGCACTGAAACTGTCTTTTGGACCTTGAACCGTTTGGTTCTCAGTAAAGTTCATTATATGGATAAAAATTCTGGAATGTTTTCATCAAAAACCTTAATTTCTTTTCGACTGAAGAAAGAAAGACATGGACATCTTGGATGACATGGGGGTGAGTAAATAATCAGCAAAAGTTTATTCAAAAGTGAACTACTCCTTTAGGGCTTGTAATGCTTTTGGGAAACGCAGCCCTGCTCTGTATAGACAGAAAAATACAATAAGGAAAATGACATTGCTTAAATGCTTAAATTGATCGAACTCTGGTTTATGTTGCTACAGCAAATATCCCAGCGTCTATACAGTAAGTGGGGATTACTATAGCTGGCTTTCAGTAACTTCCAGCTTATCAAAAGAGCACTTTTCTACCAGCTACTTTAAGAACACTTATAACAGAGAGGGCAGATCTGGAGAATTTCAGGCAAGATCACACAAACAGACACCCTTAAACACACACGCACTACTGCCTCCATCTCTCTGCCTCCTCTGTTTTGTTAAATAAACAAGGTTTTCTTATCATAAATGAGTATTTACTGCATGATTGGAGATAGATGCACATCCAAAAGTACATGTATACATAACCACTGTTATAACAGTATTCTGTTTAAAAGATTGAGGTCTGTAAGATTTTAAAAAGAAATCTCTTTTGCTCACCAAGGCTGCATTTATTTGATAAATGTATACTCTCAGAAAAAAAAGGTACAAAAGCTGTCACTGGGGCTGTACCTTTTCAAAAGGTAAATTTCTGTCCACTTTAGGTGCTAATATGTACATTTTAGGTGCTAAATATGTACATTTTAGGTGCTATTATGTACATTTTAGGTGCTAATATGTACATTTTAGTTGCTAATATGTACATTTTAGTTGCTAATATGTACATTTTAGTTGCTAATATGTACATTTCAGGTGCTATTATGTACATTTCAGGTGCTAATATGTACATTTCAGGTGCTAATATGTACATTTTAGGTGCTATTATGTACATTTCTGATGCTAATATGTACATTTTAGGTGCTAATATGTACCATTAAGGTACAGCCTTTAGGTACAAAAGTGTATCTTTTGAAAAGGTACAGCGCAGTGACAGCTTTTGTACCTTTTTACCTAAGAGTGTAGTGAAACAGGATTCTTTGATGAATGGAAATTAAAATCATGTTTAATCTATTACATGCATGCCTGCTGAATAAAAGTATTAATTTCTTTATAAATAAAACTTTCTAACCCCACAATTTTGAATTGTAGGGTAAAAATGTAATTGCATTAGATAATAAAATATTGAAACAGGTGGCATCTGAAACCCCATAAAGTGGCTTGACACTGCCTGTGTTGGTGTGTTTCCTTTTGAAGCAGGAAGTTTTGGTGGGACTTATGAAAGGGTTTGTGGCTTTTTAAAATAGCCAGAAGGCTGTAATTTCTGTCACAGCCATAAACCATTACTTGATAACACTAGTCAGTGGCAATGGAAGATGGCGTTACGGGGAGGAACGTTCTCCACAGAGAGAGAAAGAGAATTTTACTGGACAGATAAAAGATAAATACAAAAAACATGCATATAGATGAACCGCGAGTCTTTTTTTGGTGCTTTTTCCTGGGAAAAAGAAAGACTGCCAATTTAAAAAGCATTTAAAGCGTCTCTATAGAGGTGTGCATTTTCAGTCATTACATTTCCTCAACTCTTGTTTTATATTCTAGCTTCAGACTAATTAATCAATTAACATTTTCACTTTGCTAGTAATTCCCTTAACATCAAGCAGGCACTGGTCGCACCACGTCCACCGGCCCTTTAAGACTAACAGTCACGTCTCCTTCACTTTAGTCTCCCGATCTCTTCTCGCCTCCCCAATTACAGCACTAATTTCCCTAATGGAGCATTAATGGACAAACAGGCTGCTGAAGCGACGAGGGAATAAAGCTCACTGCTCAGCACAAAGCGAGCGAACACAACACAAGCCTATTAGATTTCACAAACAATGGCACTGCGATGCCTTTCCCGAGAGACAAACATCTTCCAAGTAGCAGTCACGGCTACTTAGCATGCGGGACAGGAAAGCCAGGGCTTGTTTGCATGTCACGGTGTGACCTTGCTGCGAGCGGCAGCTATTGATTGTGTTCTCCACGTGCTCGCTGTCGTGGTGATTATCTGTGTTGATTTTCAAACGGCTGGTATCCAGTGCCTTCTAGTGCTTTGACGACCAACGAGTCGACTTGTGCAGTGTATTAGGAAAATTAACTTCATTGCCAGGTTACCATATCCAGATAGCCATGAGTGAGTCATTTTTTTATTGTTTTTATTTTTTTAAGACACATGGTCTCTTGAGCTGATATGATGGCTCGGGAGAGCTTTGAAGCTGTGCCTACTACTGAAAGATGAGTAGCTAGTTGTAAGATCTGTTGTATGGTTCTTAGATATTGGCATTGAAAAAGGGAGGGTGTCAGGAAAGACAGAAATAAAAGATCAACACAGTGGCGCCAACAAGACCCTCTTCTTATCCTAGTCATTCGCTCACAAGCAAACACACACACACACACTTTCCATAGACGTATACAATGATTTGTATACAAACAGTGTATTCAGAATTCCCTAATCCTAAACATATCCATCACAGAAAACATTCTGCATTTTTACATTTTCCAAAAAAAAACATAATATAGTCTGTCTGTCTATCTACATATACAATAAAACAATTTAAATATATATAATAGTATAGTTTATGGTCTTTAACACCTGCAATAACACGTCCTACAAGTGAAGTCAGAAATATCATACCAGTGGCCAGTGGGAAACTCGATGATATCCATGTTGTTGAGTTATGACATGAGAAGGGGGTGTCCACATGAAAGATGACAAACAAACTGTGAAGTAGATTTGATCAGAAAGAGAAATAAAAGTTATTTCAATTTCAGTTCTGCATTTTATACAACATAACTTGAAGTTTATTTTGAAGTAGTGTAAAGCTAATGACTCACTCTTCACTGCTTTATGCAACTGAATGAATTATGTGCATGCATAAATAAATCATATACTACATGTAGTGTAAAAGTGATGTATTTACTTATGCTTACCCACTGATGCAACACTGTTTGGCATCGTACAGTATTGATCTGTTGTTATTTGACTGTCCATTCCAGAAGTTGGAGGGCACTTTAAAGCAGCTAAATGAATAAAAAAAGGGAATAAGAAAAAAAATGTTGATTCAGTAAAAGTACAACTATTCACTTTTAATAGAACTTTTAATAGAAGTACAGCTCCCCCATGAATTACATAAATAAAGTAAAGTAATGAAGTAAAGTAAAGTACTTTATATCCCTGCTGGAGTGACATATCTGGAAAACATGGACTGTGGGAGGGAGGAAGGGGTGACGGACAAGTTCAACAGAAAGAAAAGAAAGCAGAGAAATGCAGCCGCTCTAATCTGAAGTCTGGCTCCACAAACAGTCCGGGTGAGAAGCTCCAGAGGTCAGCTGGACCTGGGATCCAAATCCACCTTCTCCGCTCCCAGATGACTCACACTGGAACGCCTTCTCTGGTGACATCATCTATAGAGATGCGAGAGTTAATACGTAAAGACGCAAACAAGCACTCAGTATGAGAAAATAATGTAGAGCCCTGATGTAGGGCACTGCAACCAGCGAAATACACCTCAAGCCAGATATAGCGCTACTGTTCTGGAAGAAAGAGAACGTATAGCTGATGGTCAACATATGAACCCTGACCCATGCTTCTCTGGCTCTGCTGCGCTGGGGTGAATTTAAAGGGGCCTGATAAGAACTGGAGCCAAAGAGTTGTAAAGCCGACTGTCTGTTTGCATTCCTCACATGTTTCAGTGCCTCCTTCCATGCTTAAACACTCACGCTACAACATACACATGCAACAGTCATACTGATCTATTAGGAAGATTGAAAGGGATGAAACATAAATCTTCCATTTGAAGTTGTAGCTTCTTGCTCGTAACTTAAGAAGTGGCGACAGCTGAATATAAACGGAAATATTAGCATCATAGATAAATTATGCTGGTTATGAAAATCAAACTGTAATAATGGTCAGAGTTAGCTATTCACTAATTTTAGTCTAAATCTGATCATTCTTGCTGATTTATCACAATTTTGTTCTGAGGCAATCCAATATGTTTGAATATCTACTGAACAGTTTATTACGGAAGCCCTGAACCGCAACATAAAAAAAACCTTAAAAAAAAAATATAGCATTTCGAAAGTAAAGTCGAAACGCTTCGAGAGTAAAGTCGGAACGCTTCGAGAGTAAAGTCGGAACGCTTCGAGAGTAAAGTCGGAACGCTTCGAGAGTAAAGTCGGAACGCTTCGAGAGTAAAGTCGGAACGCTTCGAGAGTAAAGTCGGAACGCTTCGAGAGTAAAGTCGAAACGCTTCGAGAGTAAAATCGAAACGCATCGAGAGTAAAGTCGAAACGCTTCGAGAGTAAAGTCGAAACGCTTCGAGAGTAAAGTCGGAACGCTTCGAGAGTAAAGTCGAAACGCTTCGAGAGTAAAGTCGGAACGCTTCGAGAGTAAAGTCGAAACGCTTCGAGAGTAAAGTCGGAACGCTTCGAGAGTAAAGTCGGAACGCTTCGAGAGTAAAGTCGGAACGCTTCGAGAGTAAAGTCGGAACGCTTCGAGAGTAAAGTCGGAACGCTTCGAGAGTAAAGTCGAAACGCTTCGAGAGTAAAGTCGAAACGCATCGAGAGTAAAGTCGAAACGCTTCGAGAGTAAAGTCGGAACGCTTCGAGAGTAAAGTCGGAACGCTTCGAGAGTAAAGTCGGAACGCTTCGAGAGTAAAGTCGGAACGCTTCGAGAGTAAAGTCGGAACGCTTCGAGAGTAAAGTCGAAACACGTGTGCATTCATAACAGTGCGCGTTCATTCATAAAAGTGAAAAAATTAGAAATGTTTCGACTTTAATCTTGAAATTTTTCAACTTTAATCTCGAAATTTTTCGACTTTAATCTTGAAATGCTAGATTTTTTTATTTTTTTTAGGTTACGGTTCAGGGCTTCCATAGTTCATTCAAGTATCCTTTTTTTCTTTCAAGAAAAAAATAACAATGAAAGATAATCATTGTATAAAAAACAATGATTTTTTTATACTTCTGCCTTGTTTAGTTGTACTGGACTTTAGGCCTTTAGACTGCATAAATCAGAGGTTGGTAACCCAAACGTGCCATATTTTTGCCAAGAGTGATAGGAGTGAAATTATTACTGGTAAATCCTTCATACACCTATTTACTTCTAACTGAGGCAATCCAATATGTTTGAATATCTACTGAACAGTTTATTACGGAAGCCCTGAACCGCAACATAAAAAAAACCTTAAAAAAAAAATATAGCATTTCGAAAGTAAAGTCGGAACGCTTCGAGAGTAAAGTCGGAACGCTTCGAGAGTAAAGTCGGAACGCTTCGAGAGTAAAGTCGGAACGCTTCGAGAGTAAAGTCGGAACGCTTCGAGAGTAAAGTCGGAACGCTTCGAGAGTAAAATCGAAACGCATCGAGAGTAAAGTCGAAACGCTTCGAGAGTAAAGTCGGAACGCTTCGAGAGTAAAGTCGGAACGCTTCGAGAGTAAAGTCGGAACGCTTCGAGAGTAAAGTCGAAACGCTTCGAGAGTAAAGTCGGAACGCTTCGAGAGTAAAGTCGGAACGCTTCGAGAGTAAAGTCGGAACGCTTCGAGAGTAAAGTCGGAACGCTTCGAGAGTAAAGTCGGAACGCTTCGAGAGTAAAGTCGAAACGCTTCGAGAGTAAAGTCGGAACGCTTCGAGAGTAAAGTCGGAACGCTTCGAGAGTAAAGTCGGAACGCTTCGAGAGTAAAGTCGAAACGCTTCGAGAGTAAAGTCGGAACGCTTCGAGAGTAAAGTCGGAACGCTTCGAGAGTAAAGTCGGAACGCTTCGAGAGTAAAGTCGGAACGCTTCGAGAGTAAAGTCGGAACGCTTCGAGAGTAAAGTCGGAACGCTTCGAGAGTAAAGTCGGAACGCTTCGAGAGTAAAGTCGAAACGCTTCGAGAGTAAAATCGAAACGCATCGAGAGTAAAGTCGAAACGCTTCGAGAGTAAAGTCGAAACGCTTCGAGAGTAAAGTCGGAACGCTTCGAGAGTAAAGTCGGAACGCTTCGAGAGTAAAGTCGAAACGCTTCGAGAGTAAAGTCGGAACGCTTCGAGAGTAAAGTCGAAACGCTTCGAGAGTAAAGTCGGAACGCTTCGAGAGTAAAGTCGGAACGCTTCGAGAGTAAAGTCGGAACGCTTCGAGAGTAAAGTCGGAACGCTTCGAGAGTAAAGTCGGAACGCTTCGAGAGTAAAGTCGAAACGCTTCGAGAGTAAAGTCGAAACGCATCGAGAGTAAAGTCGAAACGCTTCGAGAGTAAAGTCGGAACGCTTCGAGAGTAAAGTCGGAACGCTTCGAGAGTAAAGTCGGAACGCTTCGAGAGTAAAGTCGGAACGCTTCGAGAGTAAAGTCGGAACGCTTCGAGAGTAAAGTCGGAACGCTTCGAGAGTAAAGTCGGAACGCTTCGAGAGTAAAGTCGGAACGCTTCGAGAGTAAAGTCGAAACACGTGTGCATTCATAACAGTGCGCGTTCATTCATAAAAGTGAAAAAATTAGAAATGTTTCGACTTTAATCTTGAAATTTTTCAACTTTAATCTCGAAATTTTTCGACTTTAATCTTGAAATGCTAGATTTTTTTATTTTTTTTAGGTTACGGTTCAGGGCTTCCATAGTTCATTCAAGTATCCTTTTTTTCTTTCAAGAAAAAAATAACAATGAAAGATGATCATTGTATAAAAAACAATGATTTTTTTATACTTCTGCCTTGTTTAGTTGTACTGGACTTTAGGCCTTTAGACTGCATAAATCAGAGGTTGGTAACCCAAACGTGCCATATTTTTGCCAAGAGTGATAGGAGTGAAATTATTACTGGTAAATCCTTCATACACCTATTTACTTCTAACTGTATTTTTGATTAAATAAATGCAGCCTTGGTGAGCTGATTTTCTTTATTCTCTGAAACATGATATTAAAAGAATACAATATTTGAGCCGTTTTTGTCTACATTATGAAAGTCAATTGGAACCCAAAAAGGTCAAGTTCGAAAAAGGACAAAGAAATAAATCCATGCAAGTTTAGCTAAGTGTTCCTTCAGTGACACAATGACTGAAGTGACAACTATATCTTTAACAAATAAAAATGTAAGATAAATAATCTCTGGCATAGCCATAGTAGAAAAAGCAGCAGAGGAGTATTTATGGGCCGTTTGTGCACTTCATAGTGAAACTCATCTAAAATGCTTTAGAACTTTGAGATTCTGAAATATGTCAGGTTTGTGAAATGTATATAAAAATGCAATAACATCCACACAAATAGAAGAGAAGCAGTCTTGAATGCAAAGTTGAGAGGGACAGATCCTGTATGACCTATTATTCATTTTCTCTTTGGGACTTGTCCAGTTTCAGTCAGCTCTTTATGCTAGTTCATGAACTACAGCCCTCGTGCCAGGCTGGAGAAAAAATACTGTGAATACCCAAGTTGACATGAAAATAACCTCTCAGTAAAATACTACATCCGATTTCCCAGAGTATGAATGAAAGGGTTGCTGCTTTTACAAGCTACTTAATGATTGTGAGTGTTGCCTTAAACCTTTTGGCAACACTGTTTTGCTAAGGAACAGAAAGTTCCCTGTGTCAATAACCTTGTTAGAGCTCTCTTTTGTTCTGAACTTGACAGTTCATCAACAAGTTCGCCAGGAGCAAAAAATTGCTATCCCTCAATGGGAAAAGAGCCTATGCTTTCCTTTGTCAGGATAACTGAAAATATTTTTTTTTTACTTTTAAAAAGAATAATTCACCCAAGAATTTGAAGATTTCAAGCTTAAAAAAGGACAGCAGACCACTATAAAAGTATCATAGATGCAAAAAAAAAAGCTTAATTTGACTCATGTACTCATTTTGACAAATGTATGTCACTGCCAACACTTTTGACCATAGCTCATCGGATTTATATTTGTTTTGCGGCAACGCATTTATGTGGCAAATAGGATAGCTGTCCAATCAGTCAAAATGCATGAAGTGACCGGGTGCAAACAGGCCCAGTCATCAGCCACTGTGTCCACTGTGAACATTTATTTTCACTTATCACAACTTTAATTCTTTTGTCAAATCAAGATAATTAGTGGTTCAGAAAACATAATATTTTGAATTTCTATTAAACAATCTCATTCATTGCATCAACTCAATTTTTTTACTTACAATGAACTTACTTTAAAGGTATAGCTTTTGTATTATTAGAAAACCTGTAGTAGTTTCGAATTACCACCGTTATATCCCCCTGAGATGAGAAATTTATGTATTTTTTTGTCTGGAAAAAATCCTCATTTTGCGTCATCGGAAGATTTTTTGGCCAGAGGCTAAAGACTACAGTCAGTAGAAGGGTCCCGCATGTTCTCAACCCGCCCATAGAGGGCGGGATCTCACTCAGAGAATGAACACATAGTGTCAGCCATCTTTTTTTGGAAGCTAAGCTAGCAGGCTTTTGTTCTGTGGAGAAAG